CCCAGGTATAGCAGTCCTGCGGACACGAAGCCGATGAAGAGTGAAGCTCCCAGATCCCTCCTTTGATCGTTGGCCAGGTCAGGGTTGAACATATCATTAACAATGGTGCGTGTGGTCCAGTGGACAGGCAGGGCCACCAAGCTAGCTGCAATGAGAAACAACACTCCAGAAGCTATATCCGCTTTGGTCTTTCGCCTTGCGTCTGGTATAAAGTTGGTGCACTTGGCCCCAACTACACCAAGCAGAATCCCAAAGAACTGGATGATGATAGCAAAAACGATGAGCACTCTGGCATCCTGCAGGTCTTGAGGTAAGGTGAGCGTAGAATCATACTCTTTGCACTCCATCTCATGTTTAGTCAGCAGAATGCAGTTCACCCACAAACCCTCAAAGATCACATAAGTAGTGGCAATGTCAGCACTAATGAAGTCTGAGACTTTCCACAATGGGAGGAAACAGATAACTATTGTCCCTAGAACACCAATGATGGCTGAGACCAAACCCAGAATCTGTCTGCAGCTAACTGCCATGATGAAGCTCTGTTGATCTCTTCAAGGAGAAAAGTTAGTAAGAGAGTTTTGTAAGAGAAGATTTCAGCAGGTATTAATTTTTATTGTCCACACAGAGGAGAAGTCGACTCTGGTTTTCTTTCCTACTGATTAGAGAGTGCTAAAGGAGGTGACAGAGGAGGAGTTTTCTAGCATGAGAAGAAACAGGTTTGTAAAGAAATCTCACCCAACCAGCTTGTTTCAAAGCACCTGTGATACGGACAGTTGAGTTTCACATGTGAATACAAAGGCTGATATCGCAAAATCAGAAAAATGCAGACATGCAAAATGTTAATTATGAACAATCGGGGTTCAAATACTGGTGGAGGCATACAAGGCACACATCCAGTAGGGGTCACCAAGGTAGGCTAAATTAGCTTAGCTTACCTTAAATGTAAACAGGAGGGACTCTGTTAAATAGTGAATTTATATGTATAAAAATGACAGTGATGACTAAAAGTAACGACCCAAGTAACTACCCAAGTAACTACCCAACTCTGTACTAAGTCACAAAGCTACTAAATTAGCTGAAAATGTTGCGAGTTAAAATTGTTAAAAAACCCCATTGTTATATATTATCTGAGCGATATTTTATGTTAATAGGCTAACATGTAACAATCGGCCAATCTGTTTTAATCAGATTCTTTTGTAGAGCTGAAATATAAATTGTCACATATTATAAATGTACTCATATTTACTTGCGCTGTCTTGTTTCATCAAATATTAGCTTTGCGTTAATTTTTAATGTTAAGGTTGATCCATGAAAATGCATTTTGACATAACTTTGATCAAAATAACTCACCTTTGTTTTGTCTGCTTAACACAACTGGTGTCTTGAAAAAAACTGAGACAAGTCTGACAAGTCTGTGAGCTGATAATAACTTTAACTTAGTATTTGACGTTCTTTAACAAATGTTGTGTAAATATTTGTTAGGAATATGGGGTTTTTTCCTTACGCTCTCATTCTTTAATGCAAAAATCTACCAAACGAAATAAAAAAAATAATACATTTTTAGCCTGTTCGCCAGCAAGGATCTACCACAAAAGCTGTAAAGATACTTTCACAAACACTCCCAAAACCAGATTTAGTGTTAGAATTTCTTTATCGTTTGACATTATTGTAATTATTCTTGCTAACATAATGATGTTATATACTCATAACTGCCAGTCTTAAATTATATTGGCATATAAT